CATAATATAGGTTATTTAAATAGGCCTAATATTATATATTTAGTTGCGTATAGTTATAGGGCCTATTTAATAACCTAGAAAGCCCTTTAAGGCATTTAAAAACAGGCTCTTAAGATAATAGCTTACATAAAAATTAGCTACCTTATTAAATATAACTCTACTAATATTTTCCACATATAAATTCCATTAAAATTAGAAGTTAAATAGGTTAAAGATATAACCTTTAATAAAAAAACCTTTTATTAAGGCTAAATTTATTAAATTTAATTAAAGAAGTTATAATAGCTTAAATTCTTAACTTATATTAAGTCTAATAATAATAGTAATATTAATAAGATATAATTTATTATTAAAGTTAATACTTAAGGCCTTTAAGCTAATTAAAAAGAAAGTTAATTATTTAAATCTAATATTTTTAAGAACCTTAAATCTAATATAAGTGGCCCTTATTAAAACCTTTTAACGCTAGCTTTATTAGAGCCTTTTAATTAATTTAAAGGGCCTTAATAGTTATAACGAATTTCTAATAAAGCTTTTAATAGCTTTTATAGTAGCTTTTTAATTAAACGGCTTAAAAGGCTATATAAAAGAAGCCTATTACCTAAACCTTAATATTAAAAAGAGCTATAAAAGTACTCTTATAAGCTTAAATTTAAAAAGGCTACTTAAGTTAAATATAATACTTTAATTAGCTAAGAAACCTTTTAACTCGTTTAACCTAATTAAATAAAACAGCTATATTACTTATTATTATTAACTTAAGATAGTAATAGGTAATATAATAAATATAAATTTATTAATAAATTTAAGGCCTATTTATACGTATAAGATAACCTTTAATCACCTAATAATAAGGAGATTTACGCTATAACCTAAACTAAAAGGTTATTTTAAACCTTAATAGCTATTATAATTAAATTTAATCTTAAAGTTAGGTAGCTTAACGCGGTAAACGCCTTTATAAATAGCTTAATTAATAAAGAAGTCTACGTTAAATTTCCTAAAGGCTTTAAAAGGCTCAATTAAATAATAAGGCTATTATAAGCCTTATATAGGTTATAAAGATTAGCCTTATTATAGTAATAGTCTCTTAGTAAGACCTTTAAGCTACTAGGTTTAATACCTTATTTAGAAGACTCTTATATCTTTAATAGCCTAATATTAATAGTCTTTTTTTACGTTAATAATATTATTTTTTTATACTATTAAGCAGCTTTTAAAGCTATTAATTAAATGATTTAAAAGCTTAAATTAACCTATAATATAAAGAACCTTAATAAGCTATAATAGTTTCTAGGTATTTAAGTCCTTTAAGATAAGGCTACTTATAAGCTTTAGCTATATTAGGATTTAAA